TATATATATATTTAGTTACTTAAATAAAAATAAATTGTATTCAAAAAAATATGAATTAAAAATGTACAATATTCCTACAAAAATTATTTTTCATTTCTATTTTTTATAATCCTCAATATATATTTTAAATATTCCTAACTTAGTTTGCTTGGAGTTTGCAGCTTACCCAAGTCCAAATGATGTCCAATTTCTGGACGGTTGAAATCCTTTTTCGGGGAAAGTATGATCAAATTTTGTACAGCACTCTCATACACGTTTGCGATGGACTTGATGTGACTCTGGGTGTGTTGAATATGTGTTTGTGTGTGTGTATGTTACCGTTGCGAATGTACCGTTACGCGTTAACGACTGCGCCTGCGCCGTGTGCTCAACTTCTAGCTGTGGCTCTGGCTCTAGCTCGAACTCGACGATAACGATAACGATAACGATACGCGCGCCGATAACTGTTAGCTGATTGCTGCTAACTGATAACTGATAACTGTTGAACAGCCGCAGATCATCAGATGGCAGAAGACACTAAGAATATATAACACGCACACAGAACCAGAAGAACACAGAACCCACACAGCACGAACGGAAAGAAAGACGAACAGCGATTAAACTGCAGGCAGGCAGTGCGCTAAGATTAAATACGGCGTGAAATTTGCTTGGCAGACGACTTTTGCTGTTGTTGTTGCCGTTGCTGTTGTTGTTGTTAACGAAATTTATTTTTCACTCATTCCATTTCATTGTGATCGTAATTGTGATTCTGATGATTGTATTGCTTTTATTATTTCTTAACCTTCTCTCTGGGGGCTCAGAACACGAAAAAACATAAACAATAAAAAACGCGCGGCGCAGCAGCAGCRGCGGCAGCAGCAACGGAAAAAAATGGCAGACTGTCCGACTGTTGGGTGCGAGAGAGATGGAAATTAAAATGGAGATTACTCGAAAGGCAGATTCACTTTTTTTTCTCTTTTTCTTTTGATTTTTGATTTTTATTTTTGCCTTTTGCTTTTGTTTTGCGATTACGAAAAAACGGAGAGTTGAGAGATTGCGAATTGAGCTTAATTCAAGTTGAGCTGTAGCTGCTGCCTTTTATTATTTTTTTTCTTTTTGCTGGTGTTGGGGGGTTGTTGCTGCTGTTGTTGTTGTGTTTACACTTTGAGCGCTGCGCTCGGCCACTGCACTGGATAGAACTTAGAGGCTGGGGCTTACATAAGCGGAGCGCTCTTCGATTGGTTTTTGTTTTGTTGTTGTGGTTGGCTTTTCTTTGTTGTATTGAAATTTTGAAAAATTTTGATAGTTGGCTTTATTTTAGTTGATATCGCGTCTGCGTACCGTGTTTTGTGGCCGTCTACGGAAACTGGTCGGCGCACACTAAAGTTAACGTTCGCTTGGGCAGCGCGGCGCAGTCCAAAAAATATAGCGCACGATGATCGGGCCAGCAACGGCAACAACAATAAAAGCTGACGACGCGACGGCGCAAGCGAGACAGACAGACAACAACAGCTACGGCTACAACTACAACTACAACAGCAACAGCAGCAGCAGCAGCAGCAACAGCTTCAGAAACAGCTACAAAGCCAAGAGCTGAGCTTTGGCCCGTTGTCTTGTGCCCAAAGCTAGTGGCTGGCTTAAAGCCACACAGCTAAAGTTGCCTTGAAAGCTTCCAATGAAAGCGAAAACGAAAACGATAGCAACAACAAAAGCAAAAGCAACAACAACAAATAACACTTGCATTTTTCATAGTCAGAAGGCATGAGTTAGCTTTTGAGTGGAAGTTTTGAGTGGAATTTGTGAGTGTAAGCATGAGTTAGTTATGACTCTCTCTCTCTCTCTCTCTCTCTCTCTTTTGCTCTCTCTGCGTTGAATGACTTTTCGAGTGCATTTCTGTTTGTTGAAATGCATTTGATTAATGTTGTAAAGATTTGTTTTAATTTATCTTCTGTTTACAATCTTCGCATCAATACATTACTCACATGCAAATCTCCAGGCACAAAACAGACATTGTTAAATCGTTAGTTAATGAAAAAAAATAAAATATAATAAAAATTAATTCGAAATGTGTCATTAAGGCATTGACAGCACTGCACATTCTTATCAGGAAGCTGCTGATGGCTGATGGCCCAACATATGTTTCGGGCCAAAATAGAACTTGGCCAGCCAACGATGACTCAGAATTTTCGTTTTAGCCTGAATGAATGAATTATCAAGCTTATCGTAGCACTTCCACATATGGCCAAGTTCAATGTCTATAGCCAATATGCAAATGCGTACCCCAATTAAGATGTAAATTGTTCCAGATTTCAAAACGATCAAACGATTGGTGGGTGCGTACAGTGAACTCTCGGGTACGTAAGACCGGCAGTTGTTTAACATCTGGTCAACTGGTCGATTGGGTGAAACGGCAATGAACGAGGCTGCTCAAAAAAGGGTATTCAATATTGTAATCCATGTGAATGACTCAACGTCAGTCAGAGAAAGAGAACGAGCGAGCGTGCGAGAGTGAGAGGGAGAGCGAGAGCGTGAATGTGAATGAGAGTCCGTATGACCCCATTTGCCATTTCAGTTCGAAATTCGCATGCAATCAAATGTTATATAAACGAATTAGATTAATATCATCAACGTATCGGTATCATTACACGTGTTGCTTGGCAGCACAGCGACATTTAGCTCCAGCTGCGATAGAAAATCTATTAATGAGCTGCGAATACTTTTTACTCTCCATATGCCTCGTCTGTTGTTGCTTCAGCTGCTGCTGTGGCTGCTGCTCAGACTGCAACAGGTTTCATTTGCCACCGTTTGTCTCCCCCAGTTAATGCCATTAATACCATTTTATGTGAATTTCGTGTTAATTACTTTGCATTTGTTTACATTGTCTTGAATCTGTTGTGTTTATTGACGCTTTTCGCTGCTTTCTCACAGCCGAAATGCCAGCGCATTGGCATTACATTTAATTATTGACTTAATTCCTGTCCACCCCCCGTTGATCGACAATTTTATAAATTCGATAATAATTTGAAACGTTTTGTACTCTGCTGGAGTTGTTCTTTATTTGACGGCGATTTCATTTTTGAAGTTGGTGAATTTGATATTTTAGTCTATAATACTAAATCTGAAATTAAAAAACAAAAATAAATAAATTATATGGAGTTTTAACCCTGTTTATCAAACTAAGATTATCCATTTCTTTTATATTTAAGACAGTTGAACTTAGTTTCATTTATTTAGTGAACTACGTCTGCTCAAGCCAAATCAAATTTGAATTTATTTTCTAGCTATTAATAAGCCAAATATTCTGTCTTAATTTTATATTTTAAAATATTATATTAAATCTTAAATTAAAAAAAGAAAAAAATTAAAAAAATAACAAATTATATGGAGTTTTAACGTAGTTTATCAAACTAAGATTATCCATTTTTTTTTTTTTTTTTTTTTTTTTTTGTATTTAAGACAGTTGAATTTAGTTTCATTGATATAGTGAATTACTTCTGCTCAAGCCAAATCGAATTTGAATTTATTTTCTAGCCATTAATAAGCCAAATATTCTGTCTCACATTAATTCACGTCTGTGGAAAAGGTCAATGTCATTAGCCTGCTGGGTAGCTGCGTTGCATACCTCAAGCACCGACAAGAAGTTCAATTCGTCATATTCAATTTATCATTTCTTAGGCATCGTGCAATCGTTAATGGTAAATAGACGTTTTACGAGGCGTTAAAGTGTCGTAAAGCATTATATGAGGGCAACATGAATATATACACATAAATCTTTTCGAATTTCTATAAAAGAAAACATGAAGAAACAAAGAAAATCCATAAACATTTGCATAATTTTCAAAAAAAAAAAAAAAATCAAATAATTCAGTTTTTGATTTAAAAAGTTGGGAATCGAAGCAACAAACAATCAAACAACACCAACAACAACAACAAGAAAATTAACTAAATCCGCCAACCACATTTACGAAATTGTCAACGACAACAAACTTGGCTCATTTGAATGATGTAATAAAAAATATGTATATGAAACACTGCAACTAATCGGGTTTCAACAAAAACAATAACAAAAAACCCAAAAACTTTAAACAAAATTGTAACAAATGGAAATATGAATATAAAATCCACCTAAATTATGGCCCAACTGAAGAAATGTGAATAAATTTCATAAAAAATACAAAATATAGTTGGAAATAAACGAAAAATCGAATTCAAATTAAAGTCTGCACAAAGCGACAAGTTGAAAATTGCAGCATTTAACAAAATATTGGTTCGTTGTCGATTATATTATAAGCATTATTGCCATTATTATGTCGTACGAACTGGCTACCAGTTGTCCCAATCCCACCAGAAACCGTTGCGGTTGCGAGCCACCGTACGGAATCTGACCCATAAACTGGGTCTCTCACTCACCCACTTACTCTCTCTCTCGCTCGCTCGCTCGTTCGGTGTTCACTGCAAGCGCACAGCTCGTTGGCCACGTTTAGTGTTTCAAGCCAATAATCTATAAACATTCATAAGTCAGCGAGACAAGTCGAGACGAGGCGGCTGCAGCGAAAGAAAAACACGCTCTGGATTATTGGCTAGCACAGCTCGGGCCCATTAGATGAAACACTCTTAAGTGCTCAATGGAGCTTCATTAAAATACAAAAATAATTGTGAAATTGTACAGAGTAAAAGAAAACGCGGTTTAGTTGAAGAGCTGTGGAACTTATCTGCGTGAGATCAGTGAGCAATGAGAGTTGGACATGGCTACAGTACTAAGCTGCCTTGGGAATGCTCTGAAGGTAAAATATGTATTATAAGTAATGTAACAAATGGAATTTATCAAAATAAAGAAATATATCAATTTCATCTTGGACAAGATATGGGCAAGTCTTGATTGGAAATACAAAAAATTTCAGGGTATTTAGAAAAGAGAAAAATGAAGCATAAAGGGGCTAAAAAGCTGAATAAAACTCTTTTAGTAACTTTAAAGCAAATACATGGTAACTTGGCTCTATATGAAGTCAAGTTAAGAGAGGTAGGATGATGTTTTATAGTCATTACATAAATACTTTTTTAATTACAAAATCTTTAGGAATTTCGAAAATGAATTGATATTCATTAGCATCATTGTTAAAGACAGACGCATACTTTATCATAAAAGCGTGGAAATATTAGATAAAACAAAACAACATAGATAAATAGACAGCTAACAATTTTATATTATCTATATGATAATTATTATCAATGATAATTTCTTTTTAATTTTAAAGTATTTTCATAGATCTCGTATCTAAAATATATTTATATTAAAGCTCTTTAGGCAAAGCAAAATCAATGCCATAAATTCTCCTTTTAGTCAGGTTTCACTTCAAGTGTCTCATGAATATACATTAACTAATAATAGAGGGAAATCTATTTTTTAAATTATAAAAAAATTCCCTTATCTATAACTCAAGACTAACCAAAAAAAAAAATGCATTTTAAATAAATAAAGAAAATGTGTACATAAAAGAATTTCAGGCTAAATACTAATAATAAAATGCAAAATAAAACTTACAGGAAATTTTTCAAATTATTAAAATGTCAAAGTACAATACAATTTGTAAGGCATTCAGCTAATTATCATCTCATTCGTTTCAACGTTTAATTAATTATTATTGAAATTGATACACGGAAGCTACTTCCTGCACAGCAACAAATCAAAATTTAAATAAAGACTGCAGCTCACAAATCTGAATCATAGCAAAATGAAGGCAATGCGGGGGGCAGAGGGGGCGACAGAGGAGGCGGAGACATTGCTGCTGTCACTCAAGTAAAAATCAATTTATTAAAAAAATCACAAAATACACAAAATTTGTGTTAAACTAAGCAAATGATTTGTCATTGCCGAAAGGCTGATTAATTGTTCGATAGCAAAACAAAAGACTGAAGCAACGAACTTGCAGCATGCACACTCTGCGGCTTGCAACACAGATGAATGGGTTCACAGCAATCGAGAATGCTGTCCAGAAAATGCCAACAATTTTTTTACAATTTTTTTTAGCACACAATTAATACTGAGCACTTGCTAAAAACACAACCAATATACTCATTTTACGTTCGTGAATGAGTATAACAATTGGCAAGCGTGCGAGCTTAAAATATATTTATTACCAACTGTAGGATTTATGGCTTTTTGGCTTTGAATTATATATGGCTATAGCAGCAGCATATCTTATTTATTTATAGGTCTTCTCTATCATAAGCTATAAGCTTTCTATAATCATTATGATATATTTAAATGGTTCTCCAAAAAACGATACAATTTTTGGCAAATACCCGAAGTTATTGACCATAATAAATATAAAATAAAATAAATAAAATATGTAAATCCGAAGTAGCTAATACTCTACTACATACAAAGTATTTCCAGTTTATTATTATTATTATTTTTTTTTTTTTTTTAACTGACAAATAAATTACCCCCATCGAGTTTGTGATACTATTGTACAAATTTTCTATATTTTTTGTAGGCGATTTAATTGTAGTTTTATTGACTCTAGATTTGTCAATATCTTTTAAAATAAAAAATAAATAAAATAAAATAATGTATAAATTTTGTAACACATATACATATATACACATATTTTCCTTCATTATATACATATACCTATACATATACAAAATACGTATGTGTGAGAGAAAAAGACCTAGTTAGTGTATATAAAAAAAAAATATATATTATCACAGCATTACAGTCTGTCGAATAATTGTACTTGCATGCTTAGAAAGAATTTAGAAAAATGCTGATGCAAGTTCAGTTAAATACAGAGTATATGCCCAGTCGATCAAGCTTAATTTCTAAATACTAGATTCTATTTTTGAAGGAACTGAAAATGTTTCTGATGTAAATCTAGTCAGTTACAGAGTATTTAATAAGTAGATACACAAAATCTATCCAGTAGAATATTACCTCAAATACAAATTTGAAGCATTCCTAAGCAACTCCTACCTGTAGAGCAATTGTTCAGTCGGCTACAGTCAAGTCGTTCATTCTTATGCTCAAAGGAAATCACTTACATATTTATGTACATATGTTTACCTGGTGTGTATAGAGCTGACGTTGATGTCGCATGACGTGCGTCGGCTACTAAACCCAGCTCAGTCTAAAGTCAATAACTTTTGTGCATGAAGTTCCTTAGCCTTTGGCTTCGACTGTGGCTCTCAGTCAGGCTGTGGCTTTGGTTGTTTTGATGCCTTACTTCATTTGAATTTGGGTTAATCAGCGATAAAGCGCTCATCGACGTTCCAAAAAATGAAAAATACAAAAATGGAAAAAAAGTGTGCGAAAATTACTTATGAGCAAGCGAAAATAATATATATATAAATATAGTATATAGTATCTGTGTTTATTGTATGCTTTGCATCTGAGTGAAAACACAAGCAAAACTTATTATAAATGGGCTTTTTGTCTTTGGCTGCTAATTGCCACTCATTAATTTGCATGCAAAATTAATTGCCAACACTTATGCATTGTTGAGGCATGATTGTTGTTGTTGTTGTTGCCGTTTGTCGATGAGTATTATTATTGTTATTACAATACTTCCTAGGCAATCGGCCTGTCACTGGGGTCTCAATAACATAAGATAACACAACATTTAAGCGGGATCCCACAAATCAGTTTTGGAGTTCAAGTTTTTGCAATTGACCCATAAATTCATTATGCATGCAAAAAAAAAAAAAAAAAAATTGAATTTACATACACATATACATATATATAATATGATATTATAATATATTTATATATCTTGCCTTTTGTAATTATGCTTCGAGCGACAGCCTTTGGGTCGGCTCGCGCGTTTGAGGTTTGCGATTTCCGTCAACATCTTTCAGTTATTAGACACAATTACAATTAATTTTCGTTTCAGTTTCAATGGGGCTGGACATCGGCTAATAATGCGCTGAAAAGGTCTTTGATTTCAATAGACTTGATGGCTTTTTAATGCCTGCCCAAATGTCATGACCGAGCATTTGCAGGGTCGCGCCTAGCTAGCTCTAGAGCCATGTGAATACGAAAGGTTTTGGCTGACCTTTGAGGTTCACTTGAAATTTGAAATTTTCCATATTAATGTCAAATTTGAAAAGTTTCCAGAATTTATTGCCAATTAAGAGACACCTGGTTTCGTGACCCACATGCACGTGCCGAGCGCCTTAATAAAAACATCAATAAAATCAACCATAATAATAACGTTAACAATAATATAGCACTGCAACACAAATTACAAAAAATGTATATATATATATTTGTATATATACATCTGTAATATATATTGATTTGAATTCTCGTTAATATGTTCACATATTTTGTCGTCTTTCGAGTTCACAACTCAAACACATGTAATTCGCAATTTAGTTTATGGCGCTGTCAATGAATCCAATTACAAATTTTCGATTTATTGAAAGCGTTTACGTACACACATTTATTTATATCATATTCATATTATAATTTAATTATTATTGAAATGCGCTCTCATATTTATTATTCGGTCAGCGTGAAGAACACTTTGAGCGAGACGCGATCTCGACGATCCAGGCTGAATGTGGAATAGATAGCATAGTCGCCGCCAGGCAGAGGTAGAAAATCGAGCGACTTGACCGGAAATCGAAAATGCTCCACACTGAGCTCAGACTGCAAATAATATGGAATTAAATATATATTTTAGCATAAGATTAAGATATTCTTATATAGAAGTTTCCTATTCAGATATCAAGTATACGCATCGTGCGCCTTTGCTACACTCGAACCACTCACGGGCAAGGGACACTTGTTCACATTTGTATGATTGGCGAAACTATTGAAGACAATGTTCACAAACGGATGATTCCGTTTCTCCAGATACTCGCACATATTGCAATGCTTGACGTCATAGAGAAAGGGCTTATAGCCGCTAGCACGCTTCAGCAGCTGAATTCGCATCTACAAAAAGTTGCAGGGAAAGAAAGAAATACAATAAAAGGAAGATTATTAATAATAATAATAATGTAAAAATGATAAACTAATATAAGAAATTTAAATTTTAAATATTCAATTAAATTTTTATAATTCAACGCCGT